TCTTCGAAATAGAAATCTTTAGTAACATTATAAATGTTTTTGCTCTCACTTTTGATCAATTTAATGCGTATTTGCTGAATAGAAATATTAATTTCTACTAAAAACACACACACACACACCATAAATTATAACAATTACCATAAGACATTGATAATAATCAGAACATATTCAGCATATTAGAGTGATTTCTGAAGGATTCTGTGACACTGAAGACTGGAGAGTAATGATGCTGAAATATATATCTTTCATGCCTCTTTTTTGTCTCTGGACTTGTCTATCTCCTTCTTCAAGAGCTCGACTCTTCTGAAGGACTCCAGGCTGTCGACGCTGTAGACCAGCACGAAGCCGTCAGCCACTGAGAAGAAGTGTTTGGGTAAATCCAGGCCCTCCCGCAGCCCTCTCGTGTCGTAGAGGCGTAACTGCTCCCTCACGCCGCGGTCCGTCTCCACAGACGCCACGTATATGTCCTCCTGAGTGTCGCTCGTTTCTGCACCTGACACGGGACAGACGTTCTTCATCATGACTGAGCATTCATTATGTGACTGTCTGAGTAACAAATGCATGACCCATACATTCTGGACGTATAACTCTCCAATGCACATGTTGAAAAGGCATACAATGCATTCATATTAACTGACAAACAATCATTTATTTTTAACAAAAAACCAAACGAATATTCAATATACTACAAATGTAGTACTAATTGTAATGTTTGTAATATTTGATCAAAATGTTAGATTGATTATGGTCCTCCAAACATAGAAATATTGTAAGATCCTATAATTAATGTATGCATCTCAATATTTAATAACATCTAATGATGAATAATGCAATAATTACAACAAAGAAATGGGAGAGCGAGAAGGCAGCATTAAGAGTAAAGAGCAGCAAATACAGCCACAGTCTTCCAGAGGTGAAGTATAGTATAATTTAGCTAAATGCAGTGTAATTGTTAGAATACTCCACAGCATTTCTATCTATTTGGCCTTTTTGTATTTTATTATGAGTCTATCTATAATGCTCCGTGAGCTTGATTCAGTCGGTCTGTAAGTTAGTAAGAACTCCTGCTGATTTTTACATATCTAATTCACCACTAACTCTTATTATGATGTCTTTAAAAACAAAGCATTACTTATTGCTAGAGTGTTAGCAGGTGTTATGCAAGTCTGAAAAGTTATATATATATATATATACACTGCCGTTGAAAAGTTTGGGATCGGTAAGATTTTTAATGTGTTTTAAAGAAGTCTCTTCTGCTCATGAAGGCTGCATTTATTTGATCAAAAATACAGATAAAAAGTTAGTAAGAACTCCTGCTGATTTTTACATATCTAATTCACCACTAACTCTTATTATGATGTCTTTAAAAACAAAGCATTACTTATTGCTAGAGTGTTAGCAGGTGTTATGCAAGTCTGAAAAGTTATATATATATATATATATATACAGTGGGTACGGAAAGTATTCAGACCCCCTTAAATTTTTCACTCTTTGTTATATTGCAGCCATTTGCTAAAATCATTTAAGTAATTTTTTTTTTCTCATACTGTAATATATTTAAAAATGTATTCCTGTGATGCAAAGCTGGATTTCCAGCATCATTGCTCCAGTCTTCAGTGTCGCATGATCTTCAGAAATCATTATATGACGCTGATTTATTATCAGTGCTGTGGCTGCAATATAACAAAGAGTGAAAAATTTAAGGGGGTCTGAAAACTTTCCGTACCCACTGTATATACACTGCCGTTGAAAAGTTTGGGATCGGTAAGATTTTTAATGTGTTTTAAAGAAGTCTCTTCTGCTCATGAAGGCTGCATTTATTTGATCAAAAATACAGATAAAACAGCAATGTTGTGAAATATTATTACAATTTAATATAATGGTTTTCTATTTTAATATACTTTAAAATGTAATTTATTCTCATGATCAAAGCTGGATTTCCAGCATCATTGCTCCAGTCTTCAGTGTCGCATGATCTTCAGAAATCATTATATGACGCTGATTTATTATCAGTGCTGGAAACAGTTTAATATTTGATATTTTTCAGGATTCTTTGATGAATATAACGTTAAAAATAACAGCATTTATTCAAAATAGAAATCTTTTCTATCAATATAAGTCTTTACTACCTCTTTTTCAATTTAACACATGCATCCTTGCTGAATAAAAGTATACATTTCTTTCAAAAAAAAGAAAGACCCCAAACTTTCGAATGACAGCGTATATTGTTACAAAATATTTCTATTTTAAATAAATGCTGTTCTTTTCGACGTTTTATTCATCAAAGAATCCTGAAAAACTATCACAGGCTCCAAAAGAGTATTAAGCAGCACGACTGTTTCCAGCACTGATAATAAATCAGCGTCGTATAATGATTTCTGAAGATCATGTGACACTGAAGACTGGAGCAATGAAGCTGGAAATACAGCTGTGCATCACAGGAATAAACTACATTTGAAGGTATATTCAAATAGAAAAGTGTTATTTTAAATCATATTTCCATATAAAGACTGGTCCTCACACATACCTACAGTGTGAGAGGCGTACAGTAACTGCTCCAGGATGGCTGTTTTCCCCACAGACGCCATCCCACAAACCACCACCTTACACCCCTTCCCCATAATCACTGCTGGAACAAACACACACACACACACACACACACATCACAACATCACAGCGGCCAGAACCGACCAGAAGAGCAGTCGCGTAACAAACATCACAGATATGGTCACAGCTATACGCAGAGTAACTGATTACACGTAACCAGATTACAAAAATAAAGTACTTGTAATTAGAGTAAACTACATTTTAAAATACTTGTAATCAGACTACAGTTACTTTTTATTGATTACATGATTGCATATTATTCACACATATTATTCATAATGTATTGATTCTCCCTAATTCCATCTTTCTAAAATATAGATTCAGAAGTCTTCCAGTTGTGTGGACATCCACACAGAGATCAGTTACACACAAACCAGAGGCCACAGCATTTGAGCGCTGGATTTACAGAAATCATTTCCGTTTCAACAAGTGTTTTCTCGACATTTCAACACATTCCTTTTTATTTGAATTATCACTCTGTAGGTTATTTAACCGTGTGTTACTTACGTCTTTTGAAGGCTTTTGTCTTTCAAACACATTAAAATGCACAGATTCACTAACTTTTGTTGTCATCTTTCACCTAATATATTTACTCAAAGGGGTCATATGATGCGATTTCAAGTTGTTCTTTCTCTTTAGGGCGTTACAAGCTGATTGTGCATAGATAAGATCCCTGAAGTTGCAAAGACTAAAGTCTCAAAACCAAAGAGATATTCTTTATCACAGTTAAGACTCTGCCACGCCCCCTAAAACGGCTCGTTCTAGCACGCCCCACATATCTACCTCACTATGTGGAAATATTAGCATAATGCTGCCCAAATGTGCACGCAAAGAAAGAAGGTGTGGTTTCAGTAACCGCAGGTAGTGTTGAAGCAGCCATGTCAGGGAGACGTTGTGTTTCTAGGTGCAAGCAAAAGCACTTTATTTGGCCTTCCGGAAGTAGATGCATTTAGGAATCTTTAAGATTACTTACAACAGAACAGCAATGCATTTTATGGACGACCGTTTCATGAACCTAGGAGAGGAGGTCATTCTGACTTTGCTATGACAATCTGGCGCTTCTGAATCAGCTACTGTTTTGTTATTAGTTATTAGAGTGGGGGGGCGTGTTAACTGTCTTAACCGTGGCTTGTGTACTGCAAACATACCAGCTTCATCACTGTGTCTGTCACGCGACTGTTCCCCTTTCAGGCTGTCTTTACATTTACTTTGAAAGATGAAGCTGGTGATTATGGTAAGGGGCGTTACATTTCCGACGAGTGCTTGCGGTGTTCGGCCAATCACAATGCACTGGGTCAGCTGGCCAATCAGAGCAGACTGCGCTTGTCGGAAGGAGGGACTTTGTAGAAAACGAAGCGTTTGAGAGAGGCGGGGCATAGAGGACCTACAATAATGTACAGTATTTGAAAAATAATGTGTTTTTTGAACATTAAAGCATGTCAACATATTCTGTTACACCAAATACACAAAATAATGATCTTTAAAAAAGCATCATATGACCCCTTTAAAGTACACCTGAGATTTTAAAAGAAATATTGTAATAAACAAGTATCACATCTGCATGTTCAAGGGTCTCTGGCTGGTTAATGGTCACATGACAAATACATTTTTTGTTCTTTTTTTGATAGACAGATTTTTTAAAGATTTGTTTTAATTTAACATTTTTATGATTGAATGAATTATTAGCTCTTCACGAACCCCAGCTTTGGGAAGGGTAACATCGTGTTTAATATATAATATATTAAAAGTATATGAATTGGCGAAACCTGACGCACATGCTCTCCAGAAAGCGCAGCTTGATTTTCAGTGACCAAACAAAAAGATCTGCAAAAGATTTCACATCACAGCAAGTAACGCGACTGACTTTCGCAATGCGAGCGCTTCTTTATTTTAAATGTTTGCCGATTTAATTAATAAAAAAGACACATCCCAGATTTTCTTTGTGGCCCCAGACATCCTGGACCCCACTGTTCACAGTTACAAGTGTTTAAACCTGAATATATAGCCGAGATAATCTGCGCGTAAAGCTCAGTTCGCTGTTTGTGAAGAGAAGATATTAGCATGCGTTCATTCATCAGTTAGAGGCACGCTGAGAAACACTAGCTCACCTCGCGCGGACTCACAGACGATCGCCAATAAACATCTGATCGGTGATCAATCAGAGGAGCGTCAACATGAGACTCCAGGTGTCACTTCCGGGAGACGAGCCCTCGCTGCCTCTTTTCCCGAACCCGTGCGGACACTGAAATCAAACTATTTAGTCGGAAATGTCAGAAGCATGTTGCAACGCTGGGTAGCTAGTTGGTTAAACACATTTGAGGCTTTAAGTTCAAATCGAATTCCTAGCTAGGACTACATTTCCCAGAAATCTTTACCAGCGGAGCCGGAAACACGATGGTGCAGCCTCATAAAGCATTATGGGTAACTTTTCTCTCTCTTTCCGGTTAGTACGCCATCAAGTAAGCGAGACTCTCTCATTTCTCTGAATGTAGAATCCGTCTAAATCTGAACGCGTGTAGTATCATCCGAGTCGCAGCTCTCGCGCGCTGTGTGCGGGACACCCGAGCTTCCCTCGCGAGCGCTCGGGTCCCGCCGCAGAGGGCTGGCGCGCGGGGTCCTCCGCTTCTGACAAAACACAGTTAAACGTTACTCGGCCAGATGTCACTGTCAGGAGTTATGTTTGTAAGGGTTATTTAAATCACCGTCCGTGGCCGTGTTGGGCGGATGTGACACTGCAGGGTTATTGTTGTGTATCTTACTCGCGGTAATATTAACTCATGCACACTTGCGGGGTTATGGTGGATAAAAGCTGCTCAGACTGTGTCTGGCCGTTAACCATCAAGTGCAGAACCTGTTTCTTAATGTTTTTGCCGCCTTTAATTCAAAAAAAAAAAAATGTCATTTGTATTAGAAATGTAAAAGTTCTATGTAGTCTCAGTTAAGACCGAATTGTGGTCATAAAGCAGTGAGTAAAATGCCGTTTATTAAAGCGATAAACCCCGTGAAGCCGTGGTTTACAGTGGTTTTAGGCACGCCACGCACGGTAGTTCGCCGTTATAAATAAAACAGTTATTCCATACACCTGGCAAGGTTTCACAAAACAAAACCGAGCAAATAGTGTATGATATTAATAAAAACCGCATTCTTCCACCAAACAATGAAAACGGTTGTAGTTCCAACAAACACACCGAAGTAAACGAAGGTGTGCGTTTGTAGAGTAATTTACAACAGCTTCGAACGCGGCTCAGCCAATCAGAACCAAGCACCGGAGCTCTCCGGTTTATAACGGTTTTAGAGGCAGCATCATGTCAACTATCAAGACGCATTGACTGGTGTCGCAGTGCTCGGTAACCTGTGTTTGCTGCTGCAGGTGAGGCATCATGGGAGCGTACAAGTACATGCAGGAGCTGTGGAGGAAGAAGCAGTCGGACGTGATGAGGTTTCTGCTGCGCGTGCGGTGCTGGCAGTACCGCCAGCTGTCGGGCCTCCACCGGGCCCCGAGGCCCACCAGACCCGATAAAGCCCGCCGGCTGGGATACAATTATATATATATATATTATACACACACACACCTCTGGAACTGGGCTGTTGTGAACTGTCACATTGCCTGGGGAAACTCTTTCCAAGAAACTTCCCAAAAATCCCTGGAATGTTTCCCAAATTTACTGGAAACTTTCCACCTTTTTGCAACCCTATTCTCAATACACCGCTCTGTTTCGCTGTATTCAGATGTCAACATTAGTCTTGCATTATTATGTGAACTTGTTTTATTTTGACCATTAGTTATGGCTTCAGTTTACACAACTTTAGGTGAAGTTTCTCACCTGCGCCTAACGAATGGTCTCATGCATGTTCATAAATGGAACCAGTGATGCATGCATTTATTCAGGCTTTGTGTTCTGAATCTTGTTCTGTCCGTTGAGGGTCATGTGCTGCTTCTCTGACGTCGCTGCTGCTCGTGTGTTTTCAGGAGCGTGCGGGCCGCCACTGTGGAGGTCTGCGGGTGCTCAGCTCTTACTGGGTGGGGGAAGACTCCACATACAAGTTCTTTGAAGTGGTCCTCATCGACACCTTCCACAAAGCCATCAGACGCAACCCCGACACGCAATGGATCACCAAGGCTGTGCACAAGCACAGGGAAATGCGCGGGCTCACGTCAGCCGGCAAGAAGAGCCGTGGTTTGGGCAAGGGCCACAAGTTCCACCTCACCATTGGCGGCTCTCGGCACGCGGCCTGGAAGAGACGCAACACCCTGCAGCTGCACCGTTACCGCTAAACAGTGTGTGCTGCAACTGTACATTCACCCAAATAAAGTACCTTTTTGTGCTCACATCACGTGTCTTTATTGAGAGCTTGTAGATGAGCAGGGCTGTGAAGACGAGATGTTAAGACTGCGTGTATACATGCAGCTGCTTCATGGGAGAGTTTGAGTATTAGGTGAGGTTTGCTCAACTCGTCCTGGGGTTGAAGATGCCAGTTTAAGTTGGCAGTTTTGCCTGTGTTTGTCTCTAAATCTCAATATTTTCATATCAAAGCGACGTGGTGATCTATATGCAGCATGAGTGTGCAGGTAATTACGATCACACTGGTGTTCATTCATAGCAGTGGCACTATTGGGAGTGTGATATCTATGCTTTCATACCACGGTTCTATAAACAAGTATCTTAATTTGTAACGCAGCTCAGCCAATCACAAAAATGATCAACTTTAACTTTTAAGTCTTTGAGGATGAGAGTAATGACCGTTGTGATGTTTTAGATACTTTTTTTTTATCTATAGTAATACATATTTGTAAATATTAAGTAAAAGGAAAAAACTGCTTAGCTTTTCTGATTGCTTGCCATGATCTACTTTGTGTTGGTATGACAAACTTAAATAGTGTAACAATATAAGAATAGCAGTCATCTGTGAATATATAGATTTTAACCCTTTCTATAACTATTTGTTCTATAGGGAAGCTCAGAACTGATTTGTCCGTCATTATTTTACAGTAATGACACATTTTTCAGATAGATGAATTAGAAATATCAGATGTATTTTATGTGTTCTGCATAATTCAGATGGCCGTTAGATTAAGGGTGCCGAAGGGCTACTTGCTGCTTCATTGCCCCAGCAGAGGAGCAGTCATTTTTGTTATAAAAAATCTACATAAAAGAAAAAGATTCCATTTAAACTGTTCTGTTGGACTATTCAAGTCACATGAATGAGAATTGTGCAGCTACATCGACGCCACAGCTGTCAGTTTATGTAGAATAATGTCTGAATTTGTGAGATCTGTGACTAATGTGTAGAGCAGGCTTCCTCACATCTGGAGGATCAACCCTGATCAAACTCACCTACCTGTGATTGTCTAATGATCCTGAAGACCATGCTCAGGTGTGTTTGATTAGGGTTAGAGTTCAACTCAGCAGGACGGTCGGTTAGAGACCCCTGTAATAGACATACCCTCTTTCTCACTTGTTTACTAAAAAGCAGAACACAGTTTTGCTCAATATCAGTGCAAACGACATCCTCTGAACTCTGAATAAACTTAAACGTGTTAAACAATGTTGTAGTAATGTCACTCTTCAAGCTCTCAAACACACATTCCCGGTGTGAGTGTGTGTGTGCGTTTTTGTGACAAATGACATAAATTTGTATAATGACAAGGGTATGACATAGGTATTACAAGGAGAAGGTGACTTTTCAGGACATTACCACATGTCCCCACTTTTCAAAACGCTTATAAATCACACAGAATGGAGTGTATTGAAAATCTGAAATAGCACAAAGTCTCCTGTAAGGGGTAGGTTTAGGGGTAGGGTTGGTGTAGGGCAATAGAATATACGGTCTGTACAGTATAAAAACCATTACGCCTATGGGATGTCCCCACTTTTCACAAAAGTAAACCTGTGTGTGTGTGTGTGTGTGTGTGTGTGTGTGTGTGTGTGTGTGTGTGTGTGTGTGTGAGAGAGAGAGAGTGTTAGTGTGTGTGACAGACAGCATCAGTTCAAATTCTTTGTGTGACTGCTGAACACACACACTCACTCGGTGATATACTGTAAATGTTACTCCATCCTATATACATTATGCAAAGTGGAATGTAGAGCATTTTAATGACAGTTGCACAGAATATAAATTGCACGTCTAATTTATCAGTGGAAAAAGCTTTTAACACAGGTGTCCCAGTGGAGTATGTAACAGAGTAATGCAAAGTGTCATAATGATTCTTTCTATCTTCATTTGCAGCACTAATTTTCTATTATTTCATCACTTTAAACCTTACAACTTCTTGTGAATTGTTATCTTTCTTTAAAAGAATTGACTCTTGATATTTTTATCTAATTGAACAACATTCAGAAATGTTTAGTACATAACATTCTGTAGCTAGTTTATTGCTCTGCACGGTGAGTCTAGTAATGGTGTTGTAGCGAATCAGCTCATGGGGAAATATGAATAATTAACCAGGTGATCACTCTTATGTTGAACCCAACACTAAACGTTCATATTTGAAGGCCGTTGTCTGAGTTCAAGAAGAGCCTGTGAAACTTTTAAACTCTTCCTTGTGGCGTCTCTAGCCTTGAAATTTCATTTTTGTCCTAACGTATTTAGCCATAGGTCCTAACACCCTGACCTCTGACCCCTGACCTTTGTGGCCGGAGCCTTGAATGGAAAAGCTAAGCAGTGTTTGGTGTGAGAACCAGGCACCATTATTGATCTTTGGGCCCTAACGTGACATTACTGAATCAGCAATAGATGCCAATTTAATACTAATCAATAATGTGTTAGAAATACATCTCCTTTGGACTCATATTTATAGTAAGGTTTACCCCTTCTATCCTTCATTACTTTTTGCTTTCTTTTTTATGGTTTAGAATATTTAAGCTTAAAGTGATGTGTAGATATGTAGAGATTTAAAGGGGTCATATGATGCGATTTCAATTTTCCTCTCTTTGGAGTGTTACAAGCTCTTGGTGCATAAAGAAGATCTGTAAAGTTGCAAAGACTAAAGTCTCAAATCCGAAGAGATATTCTTTATAAAAGTTAAGAGTCAGCCACACCTACCTAAAACGCCTCGTTCTAACACGCCCCCACATGTCTACCTCACTATGTGGGAAGATTTGCATAACGCCGCCCAAATGTTCACGCAAAGAAAGAAGGCGTAACTTTTATTCTCGCTGTAGTATTGTTGCTGCCGCCATGTCGTGAAGAGCTGTGTGCTTCGTTGTGAAAGCAAAACTACTTTGTTTGGTCTTCCAAAAGAGGACTATATCGCTTCGTCATGCCTGGAGCTGATCCGTGCTGGTCGCTGAGGAAATACATCACCTTCGCGCTGTGGATCGCCGGATCGGCTTTCACTCTGGACGAAGCGGAGTCCAGCCCGGGGTCGCCACATGTGGTTGCCGCTCTTTCGTCGGATCCGATGTCAAGCCCGCCGCCTCTGCTCACTCTAACTCGGCCTCAGCGCACGCTAGGCCGCCGTGTTTTTCGTTGTGAAAGCGAAACTACTTTGTTTGGTCTTATATCAAATACACAAAATAATGTTCTTTTTAGCAACATCATATGACCCCTTTAATATAAAGGACTACAGTTCAAAAATCTAATTGTTCAATAGCATTCAAGAAGCAATGTCAAAAATTATTGATTGATTGATTGATTTATGTATATATTTATGAATGCATGCATGCATGTATGTCCATCCAGTGACTTACCTGATCATAGTTAAAACATATAGAAGTCACATAACACCCCAAAATATACATTTTGCCTAAAAACAAAGCCTGTTCAAAGTTTATTACCAGTGGTTGCAATGGGACATTATTTCCATGATAGATAAGCACAACTCTCTATAATTCACTATTCTTAATATTATTCAATATTAGTCATAAGTAGCATGAGTATATTTGTAGCAATAGCCAACAATACATTGTATGGGTCAAAATGATCCATTTTCCTTTTATGCCAAAAATCATTAGTATATTAAGTAAAGATCATGTTCCATGAAGATATTTTGTAAATTTCCTACCGTAAATATATCAAAACTTAATTTTTGATTAGTAATATGCATTGCTAAGAACTTCATTTGGACAATTTTAAAGATGATTTTTCTCAATATTTAGATTTTTTTGCACCCTCAGATTCCAGATTTTCAATCTGTTGTATCTCAGCCAAATATTGTCCTATCCTAACAAACCATACATCAATGGAAAGCTTATTTATTTATTTATGTATAAATCTGACCCTTATGACCCGTATGGTTTCGTGGTCTAGGGTCACATTTTATAGTAACGAGAATACACATTTTAATGGTTCTAAAAACAAAACTAAATTAATAAATGTAATAACTCTTCATTATGTTATGTGCAGGAAAAAAAACACGAACTTCTTTAATACCGCGCTGTTTCGTCCCGCATTTGGGTTGTTTGGCTTCCCATACAGGGGCACAGGAGGCCCCGCAGGAGCAGTGAACGCGTGTCAGTGGGTTATGGACCATTTCAACGGATATTTGGCGGTTTAAGGAAGTGACGTCTTTGTTTACATATGCGCCTAGCGGCTTGATTCTTGTTTAGTGGAAAAGGCCAAGCTTTTATTTCCGTTTTATTGCCAAGCGTTATGTGAGCTATAGTTAAATATGAGTTCACATTAGTGGTCTAGCTATCTTGTCAGCAGATAAATGCAGCGAGTAACACGTTATAGAAATGTATACTGTAAACTTGAATGTTGAAGAGTGAAACGGTTAACTGCAGTAGTTTACAAAAGCTAACGGTAAACATTTTTCATCACTCATTATGTTAATTCCAACATGTACTGATGTATTATACAATAATAGTATTATTTATAAATACTGTGCATTAAATTAAATCATTTTTCTACTTTTGTCTTTAGGAAAGCCATCATCTGTAATGTAAGACACCTAAGACAGCTGGTTGTCCTGCAGTGCCAAACCACATGTGACCCTATGAACACCCAGATGTGTTTGAGAACCTGAGGATGCAATGCAATGTAAAGCTGCTCATGGCCAGCCTGCTGCTT